CCGGCCTTAACCCCTGCGGGGCCGCGCCGCCCTCTGCCCTCCTCCGGCCTCACCAAGATGTCGCTCCAGGGCCCGCCTCCACCTCCGGCCTCGGCCCCGTGCCCTCCTCCGCCCTCCCGACTCTCCTCCCCCGCCGCATCCCGGAGGAACCCCTGGGGGCTTTGCGGGGGACACTGCGCGGAGCCGCTGTACGGGGTCACGCCCCTGTGCAGCACGCGCTTGGCCTCCCCGCTCCCGGCACGCGGGCTTGTGTCTGCTTCCGCCTCGAAAGTCGGTGCGACCCCCACCCCGCTCCGCCTGGCTGAACACCTGGTGCCGGATCCTGGGGGGGGAAGGGACGCGGGCTCCGGCCCCGCCGGGCGCGAGGTCAGGGGGCTGCGGGCCTCTGGGGGCGGGGCGCCGCGACCCCCAGGCGCTGGGGCGGCGGGAGAGCCCCCCCAACACCCCCCAGTTTCCTTTTCTTTTTGTGCCGCCCAGGGAGGGCCGGGCCGGCTGGGCTGCAGATGTCGCTTAGGGCCGCCCAGCTGCCCTGTGCGCCCGCTCCGCTGCCTGCCCCCGCTCGCCCCGCATCTATTAGGCACCCTCTGCATGCAGGCCCAGAGCCAGACCTGTTAACGTTTAACCGCGGCAGAGGGCCTGGCTGAGAGCAGCCTTCACCTCCGCCCCGAGCCTGTGCCAGGCAGCGCCGGCCTGCCGCTGAGGCAATCAGCATGCCGCTCCGCACCTACTTCTCGAGGTCTCCCTACTTGGAGTTTACGCAGCACCTTGAGGACAACAGTCAGGGTGTAGCCGGCTTTCGCGAACTCAGAAAGGAACCGCTAAGAAAGTCTTTTACAGGGGCAGGACTCGGGGCGGGCGCGGGCAGAACTTCCCTGAGTCTGACCCGGTGGGCACAGAACACTTTGGTTCAGGGGTTTCATGCAAATGCGGGGGTGCTAACTGCTCATTTGGGATGAAAATAGGCGCTCACTCCTGGGGGCACTAGAGTTGGGGGGGGTCTCAGAGAAGTGATCAAAAAGGATTTATTAAAAAAGGGAGGGAACGTGGGAGGTTGAGGCAGGAGGATTGTTGCGAGTTCGAGACCAGCCTGGGCTACAAAGTGAGCTGAAGCCCAGCCTGAGCTGCAGAGCAAGACCCTGACTCGAAAAAAAAGAAAGAAAGAAAGAAAGAAAGAAAGAGGGGAGGAGGTGACTGCCCAGGGAGGGGACTCTGAGACAGGCTGGGTGAGAGTAGACTGGAAGGACCCCAAATCCCAGGGGCTGCCCTGCCACCGTGCTAGGCCCCGCCCCCTGACCCTGCCCGTGGCCCCGCGGTGACATCTGACCTTGTGGCGGCTGCAAAGTGGGGACAAAGGGGCCGGGGCCCATCTGCCGCAGGGGTGCCCGTGGGAACCGCCAGACAGTAGCCTGGCGCCTGAGAACCCACCCTGCCCCCAGGTGACCTTGCCCTGGGGTGTTGCCCTGGCCACCTGAGGGACAGGGTCCAAGATCACCGTAGACTCGCAGGGGACGGGGGCGGTGGGGGGGTCACCTCTTTCATCCCCTCCCCTCCCCCAACGTGGCCTGCCTCAGTTTCCTTTCTGTCTTCCAACCTGGGCCAGGTGCGGGGCCAGGTGAGGACTGGAGGAGATGGTGCCCCGCTCCCTGAGCTCCCTCTGGGGCACAGAGGGGTGGTTTTCAGAGCTGTCTTGGGGTGCCCTCTGGCTAAGCCCGTGTCACTGTCCTGGGCCTAGCAGCTGCTGGCCCACACCTGCCCTGGAGCACTTGCCCCAGGCTGGGGCCCAAATCTTGCTAGCCTCAGCTTGAGTTCCAGCTGTAGCCCTAGAGGGGACAGCTTGCCCCTAACCCAGCCATTCTGCCCGCCCTGTCTCTAGGGGTGTGGCCTAGTGAAGGACTTATGTGCCGCTAGCTGCTCCCTGGGCCAAATCAGCCCTGACCCCCACGGGTGGGAAGCCAACCTCTGGGAGCTGGGGCTGCAAGGGCCAGGCTGCTTCCCACCTCTTGACCTCAGCCCCAAAGCACAGCCAGGCTTATGCCTTTATAAGGTTGGGGCCTGCCCCCCACAACCTCCTTACTTTAGTTCTACTTTTATTTTTCACTGCTGGGGATGGCACCCAGGGCCTGCATACTTGGGCTACATCCTCAGCCCTTGTTTTGATTATTTTGAAACTGTCACAAAATCACTAAACTGCCCAGAATTGACACCTCCCTGCCTCAGCCTCTCTGAGTACTGGGTTTCAGGTTGTGTACCAATCTTCCTGACCTGTTACCAGGGATCAAACTCAGGACCTTGTGCTTTTCTAGGCAGGTGCTTAAGTTAAGCTCCACCTTTAAGTGGAGGAGCCCTCAAAGCCATCTCAAACTCCTCCACCCTCCCAAGCACCAGGGCTAACCCCTCTTGTACCAGAACTGTCCAGCCTTGGCCTCCCACAGGACAACTGTAAGACCTGACAGCCAAAGCCCATCTCGCTGGGAAGAGGGTGGCCAGGGAAGCTGCGTCACACTTGCATAGACTGCACCCTGGGCTTCTGGATGGGGACAGGTGGAGCCTCAGCCCTGGCTGTGTCGCTCCACCCCAGGGTGGCCTCACAGGCTGCTCCCGACCTGACCCCTCTCATGAACCAGTTGATTGTCAACTCAGGGCTAGGCAGAGACCTGCCCAGTCACCCCAGGGGCCATGGTGCAGAAGGAGCTGAGCAGACAGTGTCACCAGAGGACATTTATGACACTACAGCAGGGTCTCCCCCAGCGGGGGTGGTAGGGCACACGGCCGGGGCCTCCCCAGGGCTCGGGCTGTGGCTTCCAGCCTGGCCAGCTCCTCAGCCTGCCAGGCTTCCATCTGGGTCATCTGTTTCTCCAGCTTCCTGCGCTGTTCTTCCTGCTTCCGGTGGGCTCCCCAAAAGCCTAGCAGCAGGGCACTGTGGGGGTCCAGATCAGGGCTTGTTCCTAAGCTGGGGGCCCCAGGGCCTCTCAGCAGCCATCGGGGGAGGACAGGGACAACCAAACACTCAGAGGAAACTGGGGCCTGGGGAGCACACCAAGAGGGGGACCCAGTGCACCTGTGAGCTCTACAGAGATCTTCGCTCAGCTCGGCACTCTGGGCCCGGCCAGTACGGCCTCGCTGGATCACCTGCTCCAGCTGTGCCCGGAGGGACCACAGCTGCTCTTGCAGGCCCTGGGCACTGGGTGGGGCAGGAAAAGAGACAGGGGTCATGGGTCTCGGCCACTGCCTGCCTGTCTGCTCCCTGCCCTGAAGAACCCCGCAGACCCCACCCAGCATCAGCACACACCGGCTGAGGGATGCCTCCAGGTCCTGGGCCAGCTGCTCCGGGTCCCGTACTCTGCACTCTGGGCCTTCATCCTTGCCACTGGCTGGACGCTGCTGGAGGCAGAGGGTGGGGAGAAGTGGACATAAAGCTGGTAAGTGCCATAGTCCCTTTCTTTGGGTCTATGAGGTCACTTCATGCTGGTAACCTCTTCCTGGCAAGAAAAATAACTTGGGGGACCTCATCCAAGACAGACCTCCCTTGGGAGGAGACACTGGCTCAGAATGGCAAGTCAGGGACTTCATTATTTATTGATTTATTGGAGTTTTGAGACAGAGTGTAATGTGTAGTTCAGGCAGACCTTAAATTCACAATGTAGCCCAGGCTGGCCTCGAACTTGTGGTGATCCTCCTGCCTCAGCCTCCCTAGTGCAGGGATAATAGGTGTGCACCACCCTTGGTCAGGGACTTTGGCACACTAACAAGAAAGTGACCAGTGTCCCTGGCAGGGCTGTGGAGGTGGCAAGGTGACTCGAAGCCATCATTGGGCAGTCAGGATGATCACACTAGGTGCAGTGGCCTATGCCTGCCAGGAGGAAGGCTGAGGCAGGAAGACTGCTGAACACAGGAGTTTAAGGTCTGGCTCTGTGCTGGGGAACAGCAAGACCTGGTTTCAAAAAGGAGGAGAAGCAGAAGACAGGTGTGGTGGTGCATACCAACACCAGGGAGGCCACAACAGTATTGGAGGTAATAGAGCCAAAGAGCACCTAGCCAGTTTTGTCTCAAAATGTAAAAACAAAAAAGACTAGGGCTCTAGCTCTGTGGTGAGTGCTTGCCTAGCATACAGGAGGCCCCTGTCCACTTCCCCGACCATGAGGGACAGATGGGATCAGACAGGGCTGAGAAGAGGAAAGAGTACTGAAGGCACTGGAACCACACTAGAGGAAGTAGGGGCCGAAGCAGGAGGATCTCCTCAGTTCAGGGCCAACCAAGGTTACATAATGAGACCTTGTCTCGGGAAAAAAAACAAAAAACAAACAAACAAAAAAACAAAAAAAAAAAAAACATGGGTGGGCCAGAGAGCTCAGCAGATTAAAGTGCCTGCTGGCCCGGCTCCTGGGGCATGTTAAAATGGCAAATGAGAACGGATAGCATTGGCCTGCAGTCCCAGCACTTGCGAGGCTGAAAACAGGATCACTCGAGTGCGACCTGTGTAGTGAGACCCTGTAGACCCTGCACTAAATACATTTTTTTAAAAAGTCAACACTAGAGCCGGGCAGATAGCTCAGTAGAGTAAGCAGTTGCCTGGCAAGAACAGCATCCTGAGTTCAATCCTGGGTACCACAAAAAAAAAAAAAATTCCACACTAAAACAGGTGGCCTCCAAATGTCCCCCGTACCAGGGACTGAACTCAGGCTCATTCCTCTTATTAAGGAAGTGCTTATTCTACTGAGCCATCTCACCGACCCCTACCGGAGGTCTTTCAAAGGCGATTAAATTCTGAAGACAGACTGACTTCCGGCTGGGGGCGGGGCTGCTGCGGCCTCTGCCCCGCCCTTCTGAAGCAGCTCCCCAGCCCCAGCCGCCAGCACCTTCTCCGCCAGGCCCACCTGCTGCCGTGCCTTCTGCCCCGGGGCCCGTGACCGCGCGGCGAACACGCAATCAACGTCTCTCGCTGTGAGGCGCAGGTCCGGGGTTTGGCTGTGTCTCTGCAGCAAGGAAAGTGACTATTATACAGGCTCTCCCTAGGGTGCCCCGGCCGGGCGGGCTCCAACCGAGATCCTCCTGCCTCAGCCTCTGAATAGACTGGAAGCTGGAGGGTGCCCTGGCTGTCCCGGGGCTCACCTGGGGACACGCCTCCTCATCTTCGCTGCTGTTGCCCTCACTGCTGTCCCCGCCGCCGCCACTGGCCCGGGCCCCGAGCTGCTCCAGCTCCCAGCGCAGCTGGCCCAGCAGCAGCAGCAGCGCGGGCGCCTGGGCGCGCAGAGCCGCCTCCCGCAGCTCGAGGCCCCGCTTCTCGCGCCGGGCCAGCTGCAGCTGCAGTGCCAGGTCGCCCAGCGTCTCCTGAAGGCAGGAGACATGCAGGAGTGAACTTCTGGGGAGACAAGCTCCAGGACCAGGCAAACCCCAGACCTCCACCATGACCTCTGCAGGTGCAATGCCTCCCTCCCAAAAGTCTAGGGCTGTGGGAAGAACATTTCCCTTTTTGTTGTTCTGTTTGAGACAGGCAGGGTCTCTATGGATTCAGGCTGCTCCTGAATTTACTATGGAGTGCAGGCTGGAGCAGGAGGGAGCACAGGACACAAACTCAGGCCCTCGCGCCTGCAAAGCAAGGCACTGCGCCTCTAAGCTATGTCCTGGCCCTGGAACTACACTTCTTAAAGGGCAGAAATTTTAGACAAGGCCAAGCAGCAGTGCATCAGAAGCTTCTGGAATTTTCCTAACTCCAGAGCCCTTTTGTCCTTTTGTGTGTGTTTATTTCAGAGCTGAATTTTTTTTTTTTTTTTTTTTTTGGTGGGGGTGGCTGCCTCAGGATGCCTTCAGGGCAGGTTTAGTAAGGCTTGAGGATTTGGGGATTGAACCACAGCAACCTGAGCCCAACCTAAGCCTGACTGCTCTGTTTATGCAGTCACTAAGCAACTGAGCTAATGGGCAGGCCCCTTTAAACATTCAGAAGGATTTTATTTTATTTTTATTTTTGTTTCAGAGCTGAGAATAGGACTCAGGGTCATGTATAAAAGACACACATTGCACTGCTGTGTAACACTACCAGCCCCACGACCTCAGATCCTTCATGCAGTTTCCACTGAGCAACTGAACCCCATAGAGCAAACCCTCTAGGCATCCCTCAAAACCTCAGCTGAAACTCTCCTTGCCTGTGGCCCCCCAACAACATCCCTGTGAGCCTCGGCAAAGGCTTTTGTCCCTCCAGCAAAGACGCGTGGCCATGGCCGTGGCCTGAGCTCTCATGTACCCGTGTGGCCACCAGGGCCTGCTGGAGCTGTGTCTTCTCCAGCTGGGGCAGGGCTGGGCCAGGCTGGGCCTCCAGAATGGCCTGCACCAGAGCTTCTGCATGGGCCACGGTGGGCCTGGGTACCAAGGTGGAATCCGGCTCTGGAGGAAGCTTCACCAGGGCACGGTGCTCCCAGAGACGCTGGACGTGACCACAGAGTTGGGCAGCCACTTCCTGTGGCGTGGCTGCCACCAGGCTGCTGCCCTCTGGGCTGTGGGAGGCAGGAGGGGGCTATGTGAGTGCTGTGAGGCGGTAGAGCTGACTTCCGGATGGCCCCTGGTCCCATACTCTCCAGCTAGCTGGCCACAATGGGCCCTGAGTCACACTGAGGCGGGAGGGCTGGCACCATCAACCCAGCCTGGAGGGCGCCAGGCTCACACCACACTGTGGACACTATCGTGCCAACCCAAGAGCAGAGTGCTGGGTGCTGTCACCTGACCCAGCGGGTACTGTTCCTGGTGACCAAATGGCAGATAGTGTCGCTAATGGAAGGTCAATGTCACAGACAGTATCACAGCCCTGTGGGCCACATTCATGCCCAAGTGGCAGACACCATCATGCCAACCTGACAGCACCACGCCTATGCCAAAGTGGAAGTCGGTGACCTGTCAGGCTCAGCCTTGAGCAGGGCTCATACTGCCACAGGGGGCACGTTGGCAGCCACCCAGTGGGCACCATGATGCATTGCACCCACCCCACCAGCACCTCATCCCAGTTGCCAGCCTCACTGTGCTGGTCCTGAGCGGTGGGCGCCAGCATCCACCTTCGCACCCACCCCCGCAGGCTGCCTGGCCCCAGCCAGCTGGCCCTGGTGATTCAGGGCCACTTCCTGAGGGCAGCAGCCAAGTCCCTGCCAGCAGGAAGTGCAGGGACGCCCTTACCTGGGCTGCAGAGCCCCTCTGTCCCCCGCAGCCTGTGCACGTGCCAGCAGCCTTTGTGCCTCGTCCTGGGCCCCCTGCAGGTCACCCTTGGGGGCTGTGGCGCTGGCCTCCCACAGGGCAAGCAGGGCACTGTAGGCCTCCTCGCAGTCCTCGCTGCAGGACATGGGCCTCAGTGCTGGGTGGTGCTGCCCACCCAAGAAGCCCTGCCCCGTGCCCAAGCCCAAACCTCCCACCTGAACTGCAGGGCCAGGTGCAGCGCAGTGGCCTCGGCCTCCCGCTGGCTCAGCTGCATGCTCAGCCCTTCACAGCGGCCCTTGGCACCCTGCAGCGCAACTAGCAGGAGGCGGTTGAAGCCCTTAAGCTTCTCCATGCTCCTGTGGGGACAAGGCAGTAGGGTCACCACTCAGGCCTACACCCTTCCCAGCTCCCACTCTCACTGGGCCGCACCCTCGGAGCTGCTCCTCCTGCCCCTCCAGGACTCGGGAGTCAGGGCCCCAGGCCTGTAGGAGAGAGCTGGGGGGCTGGGCACTGGGGTCGCAGTGCAGGCGCTGGAGCAGGGGTTGCACCAAGGACGGGTCCTGCAGGAAAAGGAGACTGGATTCACCAGGATTATCAGCCCCAGTCCCACCTGAAGTTGGGGCCTGCTATACTTTGTGTTTCTTTGCAGTAGTGACTGGTATTGAACCCAGGGCCTTTGTATATTTTTATTTCATTTTTTATTTTATTTTTATTTATTTATTTTTGCGGAACCGGGGATTGAACTCAGATCCTTGAGTTTGCCAGTCAAGCGCTTATCCTACTGAGCCATCTCCCTGGCCCCATTTCATTTTTTATTTTGAGACAGAGGTAAATGCTAAGTTGGGGGCTAGGGAGATGGTTCTGTGGAATAAGCGCTTCCCTGGCAAGCATAAGGGCCTGAGTTCAATCCCCAGTTCTGCCCCCCCCCCCAAAAAAAAAGCTAAGTTGTCCAGGCTGAGCTAAAACTTGTGATGCTCCTGCTTCAGCCTTCCAGAGAGCTGGGATGACAGCTGTGTGCTCCTGTGCCTGGGTCACCAGCTGTTTAAAAAATAACTCCAGCAAGCAGGGTGGCTGGTGCCCTCCTGCAATCCCAGGACTCAGGAGACACTGGCTTGTTCTTTTGAAATTTTATTTTGAGGGTCTTGGTTAAATTGCCCAGGTTAGGGGGCCAGGGAGATAACTCAGTAGCATCAGCGCCTGCCTGGCAAGCACAAAGTCCCAAGATCCATGGCACTGCAAAATTAATTAAATTCAATTTTAAAAATTGCACAGGCTGGAGCCACACTTACGACCCTCCTGCCTCAGCTTTCAGAGAAGCTGGGCTGACAGGCACGTACCACATTGCCCAGCTGAGTTTGGGCTTTCTCCAAACACAGAAGCTACTTAGTCTCAGAAGCAGGACGTGAGCCTCCTCTGCCTACAGGCAAAGCCCACAGAGACCAGGCATGGCACTTGCCACACTTACCCGCACAGTCCACGACTCCCCGTCAGCCTCACTGTCCACATCACTGCCCACATCTGCATGGCTCGGGGAGCGGGGTGAGGCAGCCTGCAGCCTCTGTAGGGCATCCTGCAGCTCCCGGACCTGCAGCAGGACGATGCGCAGGCCCTCAGCAGGTGCACTGCCTCTGCGGCACAGGAGGTGCCCGCTGGAAGAGCAGCCTGGGTTCTCGGCTTCCCCCATCCCTGGCCTTCATCACTGCAGGCTTGTCTTTCCTAGCAGGAATATAATTCCCTTCTAGAGGAAAATGATCCATTTTCTTCTGTACTTTTTTGCTGTTGTCTGAGACAGGGCTTCACTCTACAGCTCTGACTGGCCTTGAGCTCACTCTAGCCTACGCTGGTCTCGATCCCACAAAAATCCTCCTGCCTCAGCCTCATGAGTGCTGGGATGGCAGATGTGTGCCACCATGCCTGACAAATCACGTTTTTTTGTTTTTTTTTTTTAAATTTCATCCCAGGCTGGTGAGATGGCTCAATGGTCTAACGCACCTACTTAGGAAAAGGAATTTTTTTTTTTTTTTGCTCCTTGAATGCCTTCAGGGCACTTTTGCATGGCTGGAGTGTTGTGGGGATCGAACTACAGCAAACTGAGGCTGCCAGCATTGTGGAAGCAGCCACTTAAAGAACGGAGCTAGGGCTGGGCCCCCACGCACCTACTTAGAACAAGCTTAGCAAAGCACAGGGACCGCGGTTCAATCCCCCAGCACCACATGCCAGCCAGCCCCGCCCCCTGGTGGGCTGAGCTGGCCCCCCCAAAATAAATAAATAAAGTAAAAAATAAAAATTTCATCCCATGGTTTCTGCTTGCTGAACCTGTGCTCTGTGCCAGGCATGGTGGCAGGCACACACCTGTCAGCCCAGCACTCTAGGAGACGGAGGTAAGACAGTCACCAGTTCTATCCAGCCTGGGCTCAGGCTCCTTGATCGATCTGGCGAGGGACTGACTCGAGAGGGCAGGCTCACCTCATGCCTCAGTGCATCGCTTTCAGCCCGCAGCTGTGCCAGCTCGTCCTCCCGTGTGTCCAGGGCCAGCCGCAGCCAGGCATTCTTCTCAGCCATGCGAGTCACCTCCTGCCAGGGCCCCAGGGTCCCATCTGCCCTGCCCACTGCCTCCCCAGACCCAGGGCTGCTCAAGGGCTGTGGGTGCCAGGCAGCAGCCGTGGCTTCCAGGGAAGCCAGGGCGTGCTGCAGGGTCTGGAACACATCAGGGTCTCCAAGGTTCCTACGCCCAAGACCAACAGCAGCCTTGTCCTGTGGGGCTGCCTGCTCCTGGTTCTGGCAGGCATCCTCTGTGAGCAAGTGGGTGTCTTCCGGGGCAGGGGCCCTCAACCTGTTCCTGTCCTCCTCAGTCTCTTTGCCAGCCCTGTGGAAGCCAAGCAGGAGATGAGCCATCAAAGTACGCAGGGGCTTGGGGACTTAGGGTCCTGGGTCTGTGGCCCAGGGTGGCAGCGGGAGGCTATGCGTGCAGGGAACAGACTGGGCTGCAGTCCAGGAGGAAATGGGCAGTGACACAGCCCTGCTTTCTAGCACTGTGAGAGGCTGAGGCATGAGGATCCTAAGGAATCCTAGTTGTAAACTTTAGAAACTGGCTGGGGAGATGGCTCAGTAGAATAAGCGCTTGCCTGGGAAGTGCAAGGGCCTGAGTTCAAACCCCAGTTCCTGTGGGGGGTAGGGGGAAGCTTGAGCCAGCCAAAAATAAACTTTAGAATTCAGCAAGACCGTGTTGGAAAAATGAGAAAGGGCTAGGGATGCAGCTCAATGTGAAGGCCTTGGGTTCAGTCCTCATGAATGGAAAAAGAAACCAGGAGAAAGGAAGAAAGGGAGGGAAGAAGGAAACACTTGGAATTTTCAAGGTAAAGAAAGATAGGGGGGGCTTGGCCTTTGCTCAGTTGTTTAAGTGGCTGCTTCCACAAAGCTGTCAGCCTCAGGTTGCTGTAGTTTGATCCCCACAACACACCAGCCAGCCAAACCACCCCTTAGGGCATTTAGAGCAAAAAAAAAAAAAAAAAAAAACTTATAAGGGGCCGGGGAGATGGCTCAGTGGAATAAGCGCTTCGCTGGCAAGTTCAAGGGCCTGAGTTCAATCCCTGGTTCTGCCAAAAAAAAAAAAAAAAAAGAAAGATAGTAAGGGGCAGGCCTGCTGGCACCTGTGTGTCACCCTAGCACTCTGGGAAGCTGAAGTAGGCGAGTTCCAAGTTTGGGCAACTTAGTGAGACCCCATCTCAAAATAAAAACTAAAAACAGAGGAGGAAAGAAAGGTGCCTAGGTAGAAAGCGCAGCCCAGGCAAAGACCTCTGTGCCCTGCCAGGCTGCACATGGGAGGCAGGCTGCGGCAGCCTGAGGTGGGTGGGCAGTGTGCCCAGGGAGTGTGGGCCTGTGTGGATGGCAAAGGCCCAGAGCTGGAGCAGGGACACAGGTCGGGGCCCTTACCTACTCGCTGGATCCTGGCCGCTGGCCTCCACGACAGGCCCCAGCTGTGGTGGCTCTGAGCTCCCTGGTGTTGGCACAGGGCTGGGCCTAGAGCTCCCGCAGGCCACCTCGCCCTCTTCAGAACTCTCAGCTACTGGGTCCAGTTCTCCCTGTGATGGACCCGGGCAGCTCTGAATGCAGCAGGCCAGGGGCTGTGGGTCACGCGTGTCACTGAGAGGGGCACTTACGGGTGGGGCTTGTCTCCCTCGCCGGCTCCGGGGCCTAGTAGCCCTCGCACTCATTGCTGTGGAAATCTGTGTCCCCAACTTTTCCTGGCTTCCAGCCCCTTAAAGACATGGCCTGCTGTCAGCTCTTGCTTGTGTTATCCCAGGCAAAGGACAGCCTTAGTCTCCCCTCCGGGAGAGGGGGCACTGACTTTTGCTGTGGAAGGGATCTGCCATGACCGCTGTGGATGCGGTGAATTTGTATACCTTCCCGGATGAGCAGATCACTACTCACCAAGTCTGCCCTTCTCCTCTGCCTTCCTGACTTCGAATCTCCCTTTGGCCTTAACCCAGGAGCGGGGTTGTGGCCCTGAAAGCCCCTCTTCTCCCCAGGTGCTCCCCTGGGGCTGCTCTTCAGCGCTTTGTACCTCTTTGCTTCTTGGGGCACTTGTGGTCACAGTCTGAGCTTCCAGGTCACTGTCTGCTGCCCATCTGGTCCTGGGCTGCCAGGGCTGGCCGGGGAGGGGCCAGGAAACAGGAAGCCCCTGCCAGGCCATGTGACTGCTTATTGTGCGGCTCGCTCCTCCTGGACAGCATTTCCTCCCCAACTCTGCGCCTGAGTCGGCTCCTGCACCTCCGCCCCTCGAGATTTACTTCCCGAAAGCCAAGTGTCCCTGTCCCCAGTAGCTGATAATCCAGGACCCCCACATAGCTTTGGTGTGGAGTTGCCACTCTCTGGCAGTTCAGTCATGGACAGGTCCAGGTCCTGTGACCTGGAGTCAACCACAGCCCTCTTTGAGCCTCACTTTCCTTAGCTGTATAGGTTTTATTTTGTTGTTTGTTTGTTTGTTTTGGTCTTTTCTTTTCTTTAACCAAGGATCAAACTCAGGACCTTGCGCTTGCCATCCCAGCCTGGCATTCAAGGCTCTGTTGCCCACGTTGGCCATGCGCATCCCCACAGGAGAAGAAAAGCTCCTCTTGCCCTTCGCTCTGAGGCTTTGACCCGGACCTGGACTGTACTTCCTGTCCTCCCGCCCTTGGCTGGAACTGTGCAGGGCTTGGAACCTGAGTTCTGGCCCGTGTGTGCCCGGAAGGTAGGCCCGGGTGGTGGGCCCGGGTGGTGGGAGAGAAGCTGCAGTATTTGGGTAGAAGAGCTTGACCACACGTGAGCCTGGTAGTGGGTCCAAGCTGCTCCAGAGCTTGCCCAAGGCTGGAGGAACTGCCCAGGCCCTTCCTTCCCCCATGGCTTCCTGACTGTTTCCATGGCAGAGTCTTCACCACTTCACTTCGCAGTCCCTGCTGGCTGAGGCAGACAGGTAGAGTTCCTTGACCCTTTCATAAGTAAAATAAGGTTTAAGCCAGGTGTGGTGGTGCGTGGCTGTCACCCCAGCACTCTGGGAGGCTGAGGCAGGAGAAAGACAAAAGTCTAGCTCAATCTGGGAATGTAGTCACTTAGCGAGACCCTATCTTAAAATTAAACACACACACACACACACACACACACACACACACACATAGACGGGTTTGGAGATGTAGCTCATTGAAGAAGCACTGCGTTCAATTTCTAGTACAAAAAAATAAAGATCGGTATGTTTTTTCCGACGCAGGAGAAGGAATCCAGGGCCTCAAGCAGGCTAGCCAAGCGCTCTACCAACCAAGTAGCATCCTAGACCGGGTATAGGTTTTTTTTTGTTTGTTTGTTTTTTGTTTTTCTGGTATAGTTTTTTGTTATTTATTTATTTATTTATTTATTTTTAATTTTAGGGAAGAGTCTACAGGGTGTTCAAGGTCTCACTGCTAGATCGGACTCGTAGTGATCCTCCCCTTTGCAGCCTCCCAAGAGCTGAGATTACAGGCCCGCGCCACCCAGCCCCAGTCTCCACAGTGGTTCTTTGAGGCAGGCTAATATGTAAAATACAGGCAGAGGAGATGGCTCAGTGGAATAAGCGCTTCCCTGGCAAGCGCAAGGACCTGAGTTTCAATCCCCGGTTCTGCAAAAAAATAAATAAATAAATAAATAAATAAATAAAAAATAATAATAATAATACAGCCGGGGAGATGGCTCAGTGGAATAAGCGCTTCCCTGACAAGTGCAAGGGCCTGAGTTCAATCCCTGGTTCTGCAAAAAAAAAAAAAAAAAAAAAAAAAAAAAAAAGTAGCACAATAATAATACAGGCAGAGGGCCAGGGAGATGGCTCAGTGGAATAAGCGCTTCCCTGGCAAGCACAAGGGCCTGAGTTCAATCCCCGGTTCTGAAAAAATAAAATAAAAAAATAAATAAAAAAAAAATAATAATATAGGCAGAACTAAGCAACTGGGAGGAGCCCTCGGACGGGCCACGCCCACTTCCGTCTGGAAGGACCCGCCCCCACTGACGCGCGCCTGGCTAAGTCAATCAGTCAGTCCTGCCTCTGCGCCTAACTCCAGCCCTATTCAGTCTCCCTGGGTTTATCACATTGCAAGCTAGGCCTTCTTCTGCAACTCTGCCTCGTGTCAGCCTATCACAGTAGAAGAATTGAGCGGTGTTGATTGGGCTAGAAACAAACAAGCTCCGCCCAGCATGATTCTAGCCAATAATATTTCACAACCCTTACAGTACAGCCTACTAATTTACACGGCCTCTCCGGCCTTCTTGAGTTAGTCTCGCCACAAGTTCAGATAGCCGCTGAACTACATTTCCCTGGAGGCGCCGCGGCCACGCCTAGCAACTTCCGGTTGAAAAGATGGCGGCTTCCTAGGGCCTTGGAGGTTTTCTTGAGAGAAAGCTACAGTGTGGTGAGTGGACAACCGGTGGTGACAGGGCGTGCCACACGGTCCAGGCCGGGCTAGCTTCCCTGGCTCCAGAGCCCCGGTCCCTTGGCTTCCCTGAGGCTGCCTCCTTCCTCTTTGCTTTCTCCCGTGGCCTGGCCCCGGTCCTTCCTGCTGCCGCTGCAGCTTTGTTTCCCGCGGAGATGGGGTAGGGGCTCAGGGCAGTCATTCCAACTGCTCGCTTGGCGCCCCGTGTCTCCCCAGGGGCCCGCAGCGCCCGGACCCGCGCCTTGGCGTTGTGCAGACGCCCTTGGGCAGCCTAGTGCCCGCGGGAAAACTCAGAGCCCCCTTCTCCTTCACCCAGACGGTGCCGGTGTCAGGTATCCAAAAATCCAGCTTGGGGCGGCGTCAGCCCGCCCGGACGTTAGTGGCATGTAGTAGTGCGTGCGGGTGCGGCGGGGCCCGGGGGCTTGGAAGTCTCTCTGCCGTTTTTTGGGTGGGCATCACCGTGGGACCGCAGGCAGGCTTGAGTGCCCAGCAGCTCTCGCTTCCATCTCCCCGATTGTCTAACGAGAGTCTCCCCCTAAAGTCTCTGCGGGAGGTCCCGGATCGGCTACTGGCTGCTTAGTAGGGGGTTCTGGGCTAAGTCAGCCATTCACAGGGGACAGAGAGCTTGGCCGTGCTCACTGCTGGGTGACAGGCAGGGTGAGCTCGGCCGCAGAAGTGGAAGCTGTGACCTCGGGTCAGATCGGATGCAAGCTAAGTCCTGAGAGGACAGACCTAGCCCACATTCCTTTTTTGGAACCAAGTGCCCCTAAAACCTCTAAGGTTTTGGCCTCTAAGGTCTTGGCCTCTGCTCCATCCAGCCACACGGGTACCATGGAAGTGGCCGAGCCCGGAAGCCCCACTGAGGAAGAGGAGGAGGAAGAGGAGGAGGAAGAGGAGGAGGAGCCATCTGCTGAGCCTCGGCCCCGAACACGGTCCAATCCAGAGGGTGCTGAGGACCGGGCACTGGGGGCACAGGCCAGTGTGGGCAGCCGAAGTGAAGGGGAGGGGGAGGCAGCCAGTGTGGATGATGGGACCCCCAACCCTCCAGGAGCTGGCCCCAAGCCCTGGCAGGTGCCGCCAACGGCTCTTGAGGTCCAGATTCGAACACCGAGGGTCAACTGTCCAGAGAAGGTGGTAAGTGATCATCTGAGCTCCAACCCGGCCCGTTTTATTTTTCATTTTGAGACAGGGTCTTGTGAAGATGTTCAGGCAGAACTCTTAACTTGTCATCCTCCTGCCCTGGCCTTCTGGAACACTGGTCTGACAGGCATGCGTCACCACGCATGGTTCAGGAGCTGTCTTTGGAGGCCACAGTACAGCTCACAGTGCCCTCGTGCTGAGTTTCTGTGTTACTCAGCCAGTGGTTTCTTTATTTTCTCAGTACTTGAACTCCAGCCTAGTTTTCTTTCCTGAGCTTGCACCATACGTGGCGTGGCTTGGAATTAGGGGTCACTGCTCCCTTTGCAGACAGGGCTCCAAGAGATGGTGGTTGGAGCAGTGCAGGGCCCAGCGCATGTCCAGTGCCCTTGACCTCACCCCGACTTCCTTGCAGATCATCTGCCTGGATCTGTCTGAGGAGATGTCGCTGCCAAAGCTGGAGTCATTCAATGGGTGAGGAAAGGGCAAGGGGCTTGACATGTGGCCACAGCAGGTAGAGACCGGTTTAGTGTGGCCTTAGGGTGGTAAAAGGTAGGGCCAGGGTCAGCCCTAGCCTTGGGCAGAGCCCTGGGCGCTAGTAACTGGGTCCCCATGCAGGCAGAAAGCAGCCCTGGACGTATCCCCAGGGGCTACTGGCAGTTGTGAAGGATAGGGGCCAGGAGGAGGTGCATGCCTGAAGGCCCTGCTGCTCTCCAGGCTGAGGTAGGAGGACTTCTTGAGCCTAGGTGTTCACTGTCAGCCTGGTGACAGAGGGGGATTCTAGCTGTGGCTCCCTTCCTCACTGAAACCCCTGAACCCAAACAGAGAAGGGAGTCTAGTGAGGCCTCCCTAGGGACTGTGAGCCCCAAGCTGACTGGAGGGGCCCTGTGGAAAGGATGTGAACTCAGAGGTCCACAGGGCTAGCTCTGGGGGCCCCTCCTTGCGCCGACCTGGTGGGAGCTTGGGTCCCCTGGCACCAGAGCTGGAGCCAGGCAAGGGCTACTTCATCGTGCACTGTACCTTCCCAGCTCTAAAACCAATGCCCTCAACGTCTCCCAGAAGATGATTGAGATGTTTGTGAGGACGAAGCACAAGATTGACAAGAGTCACGAGTTTGCGCTAGTGGTGGTGAATGACGACACTGCTTGGGTAGGCTAGGATGGAAACTAAGGGCCGGGGTGCCAGGGGACCCAAGCTCCCACTGAGGCCTGTGCCCCCCACAGCTGTCTGGCCTGACCTCTGACCCGCGTGAGCTGTGCAGCTGCCTGTATGACCTGGAGACAGCCTCCTGCTCCACATTCAGTATCCTTCCATCAGTGTGCACTGGGACCTGGCTCCCTGTAACTCTGAGCTGCTGGTATAGCCATCCCAGCCTGGCTGTGACGGGTTGGGGTCAGTTACCCACCTTTGCCCTGGCTGCACAAAACTGCCCAAATCACGGGGTTGGGCAACCCACACCTGTTTTGCCAGCACTCTGGGAGGCTGAGGCAGGAGGGTTCCAGGTTCCAACATGCCTGGGTTTAGGGAAATTCTGTTGAAAGTGAAGGGCCTTGGCTCAGTTCCTGGTATAAATCAAAAAGGTGCAGGTGTGGCCCAGACTTACATAGAGACTGAACCCTGTGAATTTTAGAAACAGTGGTGGGTAGTATGGAGGGGCAGTAGCTGCCAATGGCTTTGGTGTTAGGGATAGCAGCCCATCCTTGACAGAGGGGAGGCATCTTCAGGGCTTCTGGAGCTGGCACCTGGGTTGTGACCAGTGCTGGGAGGGACTCTTCTGGGGAGAGCAAGCCACCTGGAAGGTCATACCTCCAATCCCTGAAGACACCTGGGCTTCCAGCTGTAGTCAGAAGCCCACCTGCCTCTGTCTCTAGTCCTCACTCCAGCCTTTTCCTTAGCACCCTCCTCCCAGACCTGGAAGGGCTCTTCAACCTCATGTGAGTGGTCCAGCAGCGAAGAGCATGCTGGGTGCTGGTCCCTGGTGCTCACCTGCCAAACGCAGGGCCCTGGGTCTGCAAGTCAACACCTAGAGAAAGCAAAAGGCAGAGAGCTTTCCCCAGGGGAGGGCTCCAAACAGGAGATGATCATGTCCGATCCTGGGGGCCCCGCACCTGCTGCCCTGCGCATCTGTGGTGCATGTTTATCATCTGCAAGACGTTGTCTGCAGAGACACTGTTGCGGTGCCCCTCCACGGCTGTGACCATCCCATGGCTTCTGCGCTGGCTGAGTTGCAAACCCTGTAGAGCGCCTTGTGTTGCCCAGCTGCCATCCGAGCCCTCAGGAGGCTGAGGCAGGAGGGTGCACAGTTCCAGCTCAGGCTGGGCAGCATAGTGACTTAGTGAGACCCTGTGGCAAAATGAAAACAAACCCATCGAATTGGGGCTGTAGTTTCGGGTGAAGGCCCTAGTTCCATCCCAGAAGCACAAGCAAGACCAGGGCCTATGTAATGGATCTCCGGGACTGGGGCGGACCAGGCACTTGGAGCTGTCCCTGGAGGTGGGTGGTGGGTGCCAGGCACAGGTGTGCAGTGGGAGGGGCGGGGCCAGTCCCCATACACCAATCCCCTTGCCTGCAGCCAGCAGAAGACAGAGCTGCCTGTGACGGAGAGTGTGCAGACCATTCCACCGCCCTACGTGGTGCGCACCATCTTGGTGTACAGCCGGCCACCACGCCCGCCGCAGCTGGCGCTGACAGAGCCTGTGAAGGTGGGCATGGCTGCCCTGGGGCAGAGGTGGGGTCAGAGGTCACCAAGGCCCAGCTGACACTCTCTCCTTTGCAGAAGATGTTCCAGTGCCCCTATTTCTTCTTTGATGTTGTTTATATCCACAATGGCACCGAGGAGAAGGAGGAGCAGCTGAGCTGGCAGGTGAGAGCCCAGCAGGGTCCGCCGGTCTGGGGCTGCACCCTGGCCCGTGGGTTGCTCAGTCAGCCAGTCTACAGCCATTCCCCTGTGACTGCCGTGAGCTGGTAGAGGTGATGCAGTAGGCACCATGGGACGGTGGCTTGAAGAGCGTGTCAGGCCCTGTACCTCATCCCCACCATGGCCCTGGCCACAGCATGTTTCCTTCCCTGCTCCTGAGGTTGCAGGCCGTCCACATCCTGGCCTGACTATGCTGTGGCCCCTCAAACGGGCCACGTCGGTATCCATATGAACATGGGCAGTTGAGACCAGCTCCTGGTCATACCTCAATACCGCAGTTAGGAGAACCTCCTGCAGTGCCTTCGTTCATACTCAGAAAATAGCATCCTGCAGCTGGAGAGGTATCTGTCTGTCTTTCCTGAGGGCGTGGGGGCTGTTAGAAGGCCAGTACAGAGACCTGTAGGAGTCGCTAGTGCTAAGTGTGCATCAAGATTCCTGACTGCACTCATTTTCTGTTTAGCAGACTCCTCTTTACCCTTAAGAACCCCTCCCAGACATCCCTTTGGGACAGGGAGGGCCTGTGCTGGGTAAGGACAGCGTGAACGGCCCCTCACTCCCCAGGACATGTTCGCCTTCATGGGCAGCCTGGATGCCAAGGGTACCAGCTACAAGTACGAGGTGCCCCTCACCGGGCCAGCGCTGGAGTTGCACAACTGCATGGCCAAGCTGTTGGCCCACCCGCTGCAGCGTCCCTGCCAGAGCCACGCATCCTATAGCCTGCTGGAGGAAGACGAGGAGGTCGCCGAGGTCGAGGCCACGGTGTGAAGCTTTAGTGGGCCGCAGCGTCTGTGGTGGATCCTGGAGTGCTGGTTCTCCATCTGCGTTCTGTGGGGCCCCGAGCAGGTCCCGTTGTGCTCCAGGAGCTGAAGGCTCTTGCCAGGAATCCTAGGCCTGAAGGGCCCCGGAGCACCTGGGTGCACACTCCACGTGTTCGCTGGCCCACACTAGTTTGTCAGTTGTCATTTTTGTGGTGATTTTTGGCATCAAAATAAAATCTGACACACATAAAATGAAAAAAAAAAAAAAAAAAAAAAAAAAAAACCCAGCTGACAGATATGAACCCAGGATTTTTACACGTAATAGAAACGTATCCCAGGGGGGCCTGGGCCTAGCTCAGTCCTTTAAGTGGCTGCTTCCACAAAGCTGTCAGCCTCAAGTGGCTGGAGTTTGAACCTCACAACTCTCCCGCTGGCCAAACGTGCCCTGAAGGCATGCAAGGAACAAAAAAAAAAAAAAAAAAAAATCCTGGGCCGGGGAGATGGCTCAGTTGAATAATCGCTTGCCTAGCAAGTGCAAGAGCCTGAGTTCAATCCCCTGTTCCACAAAAACAAACAAAACAAAAAAAGAAACGTATCCCAGGCAGAGGAGGGTGAGTGGCTTCTGCTGGCCGACCACAGTGGCAAGCCGAGCGGTGTCCAGGTGTGCCCTCCCTCAGAAAGGGGTGTGGCCCACCCTGCTGCAGCCTCAGCTCCTACATGTGATTGGCCCTTCTGGCCACGTGGCTCAACATTGAGCCAATCACGATTCTTGGGCTGCTCTGATTGGTCAGGCCTGGGACCTTTCCTCCTTCCCGGGAGATTGACATCTGACAACACCCTGGGAACCTGGCTTACCTCACTGCAAGGGGTCTTTCCTGACCCGTGTGGAGGCGACGAGTTCGCCAGAGAAATGAGCTCAGTTCATGCAAAACAATTTTTTAAATGTATTTAGGGGGCCTGGGAGATGATTCAGTAGAATAAGCGCTTCCCTGGCAAGCTTGAGGGCCTGAGTTCAATCCCCGGTTCTGCCCGAAAAATGTATTTAGTATAGGGTCTCACTACACAGATCGAACTCGTTTAGTGATCCTCCGATTTTCAGCCTCCCAAGCGTGGGGATTACAGGCGCGCGCCACCACGCCAGTCTCAGTCACCATCTCAGCGTGTCCCGGGATCAGGGCCAGCACGCCGGGGATTGAACCCCGGGCGCTGCGTCTGCCTAAGCAGGCACTTTAACCCTCTGAGCTCTCCGGCAGGCCCAAAACACAGTTTTATTACTGAGGATCCGCATTCCTCTCGTGGCGCCGGCAGAGCTCCTACTGCGTGTCCCCTCCCGTGCCTAAATATGTTTCCCCATGGTCAGATTGACACTCCAGGTTTGCAGATGACAATTTAAAACCCGAGTCCGGCAGAGCAACAGCCTCGGCGCTGCTGCACTGGAGACGGGACGCAAACTTCCAAAAGTAGGGGTTGGAGTTGGGCGCAGTGCCATGTCTGTTATCTCAGCCCTCCAGGAGGCTGAGGTGCGAGGGTCCAAAAGTTCGAGCCCATCCTGGGCAACGTAAGGGTCTGAATGCGCTAAAGGGGGGGGGGGGGCACTGCGGCGCGCGAACCCGGCTGACGAGTCCTCTAGGTCTCCGGCTCTGGCTCCTCCCTCTCTCGAGGGAGCGGTTCTAGCCCTAGTTTGGGGACCAGATAATGGCACACCCTCTGCCTCCCCGAGCCCGGCCCCTTATCGGGCGGCCCAGACCCTGCCTGCGCGCCGCCGGGGGTGTCCGGGCTCCCGTGGGCACAAGGTCTCAAACGCGATGTGGACGCCGCTGCGGTGTGGGCTGGTGCCTTCGGGGACCCTGCGCACTGTCGCCGGGCTGCGACTTGGGCCAGGGGGCGGGGCGGCGCGTGCGCACTCGGCCAGCGCGGCAAGTTGGAAAGAGGCAGCCAGGCGCCCCGGGCGGCGACAAGACGGAGATACGGGCGCACTGGCTGGGGAAATGGGCATCGCGGCCGGGGACACGGATACCGCGGTCCGCCTGGCCTGGCGGCTGCGGGCGGCCCTAGTCCAGGAGGAGCCGAGGTGGGTGGGCTGGGGCTGGCCCAGGGCAGATCTATTGTTACCCCTGTCTCAGTACTCCCATCCTTGTTCCGGGTCCCCCATCCCTGTCCCGGGTTCTCCAGACCCCAGCCCTGGTCACCCTAACTCTATCCTGTGTTCCCTGACCCCTGTTTCCCTGCAGGGCCGTGGAGGCGCTGCTCACTTGCGGGGCGGACCCGAACCTGGTGCTGGAGGATGGCGCTGCCCCCTTGCACCTGGCGGCCCGGGCGCGGGGCCGGCTGGGGCTGTGCTGCCTCGGGGCGCTGCTGCGGCGCGGCGGGGACCCCAATGCCCGGTGAGAGGGGCCGCCAGAGGCCCGGACGGGGGCGGCGGGGCGCAGGGGCTGCGGTCCGGGCTGGAGGCAGGTCCTGGGCACTGATGGAACGGAGGCCCTGCCCGCGGTGACCCCAGCCTCCTCTCAGCTCGTCCGAGGCACTGACGCCGCTGCACGTGGCCGCCGCCTGGGGCTGTAGCCGCGGCCTGGAACTGCTGCTGCGCCACGGGGCGGATCCTGCGCTACGAGACCAGGTGGGGACCCCCGAGGGCGGGGCAGGGCGGAGACCGCCGCGAGCCCAGGGCCGACGTCCCCTGCTGACCGCATCCGCAGGACGGGCTCCGGCCGCTGGACTTCGCAGAGCTGCAGGGGCACAGGGAGTGCGCGCGCATCCTGCGGGGCCTGCGCTCGCCGGGCTGCCCAACATCAGCAGTGACTGCGACGGGGACCCACGGTGAGGGGCCTGTGGCTCGGAGACTCCACTCAGTCTGCTTTCTTTCCTTCCGTCCGCTTTCTTGCTTTCCTTTTTATAGTAGGGATGTAACCCAGCACTTTCTCGGCAGCACCCCAGTCCCTTTTGATGATGTATATTGATTCACTAATTAGCTAAGTCTTGAATTTAGGACACTTCTGCCTCAGCCTCCCCATGCTGGGATTACAGGCCTGCCCCCCTAAGCCCTGCTGGGATGACCTCGGCGCCGCCGAAGTCCCTGGCTGCCGCCTCGCTCCCTGTCTCGCCTGTCTCAGGGTCTGACTGGGTTCCAAGTCTGTGTCCCCTTCCCCTCTGACCTCTTCAGGAGACGTCCTCGCGTGCCCCGAGGTGATCCTGCAGCCCACGCTCTGGCAAGTCCAGTCCGAGTGTGGGGACATGGGTCTGGGCCCCAGCTCGGAGACCGTCAGTTCCACGGAGGCTGCGGTTGAAGACGGGGACTCTGGTTCTGTCCTCGGAGGTGGGGACTGCAGCTCAGATGAAGCTTCCTTTGTCACCGTGGCAGAGGACCCAGCCCCAGAAAGAGACGCTGTTGGGGCAGGGTCATTGTCTCAGGCCCAACTCCGACCCCTGGGGGCAGCCCTGAAACCCACAGGCTGCCTGGGGCTCTCGGGCCCAGAGGCCAAGCTCTGCGCCCGGCTAGGGGCCATGGCTCTGTCTCCACCTCGGGCCACTTTCTTCCCACCCCTCGTGGACCCAGATGCAGCCCACAGCCCCTCGCAGGAGCCCAGCCTCTGTCCCCTGGCCAATGAGCAGCTGCCCTGTGGTGGTGACACAGCCACCCTTTGGCTGACAGAGGATGAGGCCAGCACCGCGGAGGAAAGCAAACTTATGCCCACCTGCAAGATCCAGCCAGTCACCTCCACTCCAGTCCGGCCCACTGCAGGCCCCACCACTCCCAGCCTACAGCTGCTGTGCAGGTTCCCGGCTCTCCACTACTGTACTGCCTCTTCTTTCAGCTGCCAGCCACTGTGTGGCCTCCCACGGCTGGAAGAGGCCTGGGCTGGGCTGGGTGAGTCAACTTGGGCAGGACGTCCAGAAGCCCAGCTGTCAGCCCACTCTCACCAGCTCCCTGAGTACCCTTCCTCCAGCTCCCTGACTCAGTTTCCCCTCCCAGACCCAGACTTTTCAGAGTACAGCCCGGAATTGGCTGAGGCCCTGCGGACAGGCTGCATCCCTGAATCTCAGGCAGATGAGGATGCGCTGGCCCAGCAGTTCCAGCAGCCAAATCCCTCAAAGAGGTGGCGGGAGGGTGTAACAAAGTCCAGCTTCACGTATCTGCTGCTGGACCCCAGGTACCCCAGGTGGAAGGCGGGGGCGGGGGCATTCACCCTGTGGCCTTAGGAAAGGGGCAGTTCTCTCTGGTCATTGACTTTTTTTAGAAAGGAGCTGGGGACCTTGGGGAGCAGCTGCCCCTCTGGTTCTCTAGGCTGCAGGCAGGGGTGGATACTGTGGCATTGGGGATGGTCTCTGGGGCCACAGTCACTTTCCGAGTCACCCTCTCTCTCCAGGGAGACTCAGGACCTGCCAGCCCGAGCCTCCTCACTGACCCCAGCCCAGTGTCTTCAGACCTTCGTCCGCGCCATCTTCTATGTGGGCAAAGGGACACGTTCCCGGCCGGATGTCCACCTCTGGGAGGCAGTTGGTTACCGTGGGCGGCCAAGAAGACAGGTGTGCTGACAGGACTGGGGTAGGCAGGTGTAGCGAGAGAAGAGGGGCTCAGGAGTGACCTCTGCCCGTCCTGCTCCCCAGGCCTGCCCCAAGGTGCGCCACATCCTGGACATCTGGGATAGTGGCCGTGGCGTGGTCTCCCTGCACTGCTTCCAGCATGTGGTGGCCGTGGAGGCTTATACACGGGAGGCTTGCCTCGTGGATGCCCTGGGTAGGTGCCTCAGTCATTCCCTTTCAGGGCTGTCCAGTCCCTCACTGGAGCGAGCGCCTGCTCTATACCTACACATGCATGTATGGCTTCAACTGTTTATCCCCACTTGAGGGAGAGTCCGGAGGTCTTTGCCATCCTCTTCTTGCTAGGCAAAGTTACCCAAGGCTGGCCCCATGACCCTGCTTCCCATCTTGCCAGGAATCCAGACGCTAACCAACCAGAAACAAGGGCACTACTATGGCAGTGTGGCGAGCTGGCCTGCAGCCCGGCGGCGGCGCTTGGGGGTGCACCTGCTATACCGTGCGCTGCTCATCTTCTTGGCCGAGGGTGAGCGGGAGCTTCGGCCTGAGGACATCCAGGCACGAGGCTGAGTGCTGGCGCAGGCTTCCCGCATGAACAGATGTCACGCTGTCTTCTGTCCCTGTGCTGGGAGCAAACCCCTGTGACTATATGGTGGGCCGTGTGCGTGCGTGCGTATGTGTGTGTGTGCATGTGTGTCAGTCAGAAGCCTCGGGATAGGCCTTTTCTGTCTGAGATAAGCTCTGTGATCATAACTGCTGGAAAGAAAGTGAGCTTCCCATCATAGGAGGAAGCCAAGGGGCAACTCAAAAGGTGTTTTTGGCGGAACCAGGGATTGAACTCAGGCCCTTGAGCTTGCTAGGCAAGCACTTACTCTACTGAGCCATCTCCCCTGCCCCGTGCCTGACTTCTGTGGATTGCCTTAGTCACTTTCCCATGGCTGGGACAAAATTCCTGACACTCAGGACTGAAAGGAAAAGAGGTCTATTTTGGCTCATGCGCGCAGTCCATGGTAATCCGGCTCCCAGGTCGAGCACCATAGTGGAAGGCCTTGGCGAAGGACAGCTGCTTTCTGCATGGTGGTCCAGTGTCAGTGATGGGTAGAACTGGGGACAAGCATGCATCTCACAGGTCACAGTGGTGACTTCTGCCAGGCAGGCTCCACCCACATCCCTGGTTGAACACCTGGATGAGCACAGCGCCCCATGATCCCATCCCCTGCCACGCACAGGCTTTTGGGGGATACTCTAGATCTTACCTATAATATGGCCCTAGTCTGCTTCCCCCCCCCCAAGACTGAGCTACATAGCTCTGGCTGCCCTTGCTTCTCCTGCCCCAGCCTCCAAGTACTGGGACTACAGGTGTACACCACCACACCCGGCTCTGAGTCTACTTTTATGTCTCGGACACGGGGTACCCACAGATGGGCCAGCGGGGGTTTCCTCAGCTCCACGTGGGGCGTCTGCTCTCCTCAGACTCAGGTTCATGGCCTCCGAGCTCAGTGGCCCTGGGGTGGTTTTGCGTCTGCCTGGGCCTCAGTATGAGCCATGGACAGAGCGGGGTGACCCCCTCCCGGACAGCTGCAGGGAAGGGTCTGGGCTCTGAACAGCGGTGCAGTGAGGGAGCAGGCCTGCTATCCCGGCCCTGGGAGGCTGAGGCAGGAGGACCGAGCAACCTAGTGATTTCATGAGAGCTTGTCTCAAAATAAAAGGATACAAAAAGGGCTGGGGATGTGGCTCAGTGCTGAAGCACAGGCTCAGATCTTCAGCACAAAAAAAGACAGGAAGGAAGGAGCAGGCCAGGGCTCTAGCACTGAGTATCAACCCTAAGCATTACTCTTGTTCTTCCTCTTGAGGTGCTGAGAATTGGATCCAGGCCTCAGGCTAAGCAAGGGCTCTACCAGAGTGACAGCCCAGCTTTTTTTTTTTTTTTTTTTTTTTAATGTATTTGGTACAGGGTCTCACTACGCAGCTTGGACTCCTAGTGATCCTCCTGTTTTTGCCAGCTTTTTTTTTTTTTTTTTAAATAGAGTCTCATTGTGTAGCCCAGGCTGCCTGAAACTTGCAGCAATCCTCATGCCTCAGCCTCCCAATTGCTGAGATTATAGGCCTGGGCCACTATGCCTGACCTCCCCCAGTCTCTTGCAGTGTTACTTTGAGACAGGGTCTCACTAAATTGACCAGACTAAGGGCCAGCCAGATAGCTCAGCAGACTAAAGCATGTGCTTAGGCAGAGAGCAGTGGCCAGGGGTTTGGGGTTCAATCCTCAGCATGCCGTGCCGACCCCACCCTCGAGTTGTGCAGAGATGGTGATTGAGACTGGGCGCGAGTGGTGGCACGTGCCTGTAATCCCAGTGCTTGGGAAGGCAGGAGAATCACTACAAATTGGATCTACATGGTGCGACCCTGTAGACCCTGCACCAAATAAATAAATAGTAATAATAGTAAATCGACCAGACTGCATCCCAGTGGTAGGATAAACGGGCACATGCCACCATGACCACCTTGGGCATTATGACTTTCCTGGGGACCATCCCTGTGCATTTCAGGGGTGCTCACCAGAGGTCTGTGCCCCTCCACCCGAGGGGCAGTCACAGAGGACTAAGGGCAGTGTTACAGTCGCTGGCGCAAACGCCCTGAACGGGACAGGTTGTAGAATACCATTCGGAGGCCCAGTGACTGGGTGAGGGTGGAGCATGGGGCTAGCAGAGGCGGCTAGGTATACAGCGGGCGCTCGGTTATTGCCGCTCTGATCCCACACAAAAGCTGTAGAGCCTCAGCTCAACTCTAACCTGCTCCCTGCAGGGGATGGAGTTCAGGCAGCGACAGCCTGTGTGGCATCCAGGGGAGACTGAGATGAGAGAGTGCACGGCCTCAGGAAGCCAGCCTGCCCCCCATAGCCCAAGGTCAGCCCTGAGGGGGGGGACACTTGCTTCAGCCCCGCCTGGAGACTGAGGCTGGGAGGGTGTGTAGACGCCGGGGTCCGTGGGTCACCCCGCACAGGCTGGAGATTCCTACTGTCGCTTATGTTTATTGAGTTACAGAGGAGGTGCAGTTTGGGGGTCAGCCCCGCCCCAGTCCCTCCCCCTGGGCAATAGGAGCTCCCAGCGCCTAGGAGTGGGGCACGGGTGCGGGTCTTGGGCAAGGGGATGGGACACCCTTCAAGAAGGAAGAAGGCCCCTGGACAAGCACAGGTGACACGGAAGACAGAGCGGTAGGCTGCCCTGCGCGGCGTGGCGGCGGGACTCTACAACGTCGTCCTCTGCGGGCCGGCGCCGCGCCGGGCACGCAGACAGGAAGCGGACCGGGCTACTCTGCGCAAGCGCGGTTCACGCCCCGTGGCGTTTCCCGCCGGGCCCCGCCCACCGCCGCGGCCGCCCCGCCCAGGCGGCCGCCCGCAGACCTCGTTGGCTGCGGTCTTGTAAAGCGCTCGGTGCCCGGCACCGCTACTTCTTCTCCGCCGACTCCAGCTGGGGCTCCTGGGGCTCCGGCAGGGCCCTGGGGCAGGGCTCGGGCTCCCAGAGCAGAAACTCGTGAAGCAGTGTGTTCACCGTCTCCGGGCACTCCAGCATCACCATGTGGCTGCCCTCGTCGATGAGCTTGAGGAAGGCCAGCAGCAGGATCTGCAGGGACACGCAGGCTCAGGGTGTGGGGGCACCCAGAAAGTGCCCGCAGGGGGCCGCCTGCAGGCCCAGCTGTCTTGTGGGGTGTGAGCGACCCACTCAGAGTCAATGTGGCGTCGAGAAACCTTCCCAAATAAGCCAGGCCGGGAGGCACTCTTGGAGGAACGAAAGTGCCAGCCACCACACACAAGTCAGTGACTTAGCAAGTGCCCAGGCCGAAAAATAAAGCAAAAAGGACCGGGATGTTCTTTAGTGGGAGGGCTCTGGATTCAATCCTCAGTACACAAACCAACACCACTAAACTTTCCAGACATTGCCAAGTGATTTCCTGGTAATAAACTGGGACTCTCAAGCCTCTGCAAGACTCTCAGACTTGGCCCACTGGCAGTGGAGGCGAGGACCTTCTGGATGACGTTCTGTGCCGTGTGGACAATGCCAAGTGGCTCCACACCTCCACCCCTAGACCAGGCGCAGTAGCGCGCACCCTGTAATCCCCATGCTGGGGAGGCTGAAAACAGGAGGCTCACTATGAGTCCGATCTGTGTAGTGAGACCCTGTACTAAATACACTTTTTTTTTTTTTTTTTTTTTTTTGCGGAACCGGGGATTGAACTCAGGCCCTTGCGCTTGCCAGGGAAGCGCTTATTCCACTGAGATATCCCCCCGGCCCCTGTACTAAATACATTTTAAAAAAATAATAAAATCATATCTAGAAGATGGGAGAGGTGGCGAGTGCCTCTGATGCCAGCACTTGAGAGGCAGAGGCAGGAGGATCACTTGAGTTTGAGGCCAGCCCGAGTTACAAAGTTCAAGGCCAGCCTGAACTGAATAGTGAGATCCTGTTTCAAAAAGACAAATTAAAAAAACCCTAGAGGAGGGGCCGGGAGATAGCTCAGTAGAATAAGTGCTTGCCTGGCAAGCATGAGGGCCTGAGTTCAGAACCCGAAAAAAAAAATTCTTAATGGAGATATAGCTCAGTGGCATAATCGCCTGCCTGGCAAGCCCAAGGTCCCAAGTTCGACCCCCAGTACCTCAAAAAACAACAACTCTACAGACCATACCCATACACAAGCCATGCCAAAACAAAAACCTCTACTCAGAATAGGTGTAGGCTTTCAGACCACGCCCACGAAGCCACACCCACGGAAGCTGGGCTACGCCCCAATGGAAAGTCCCGCCCCAGAACCAGCACTTTGTTGGTGCGTGTAGCGGCTAGGGCTCCTCTCCTACCTCTGCCATTCTCTGGTCCTCTTCCACTGGAACAAACTTGTCGTGCATGCCGTGGACAAGCAGCACGGGCACGGTCAGCTCGGCGTGGTACACCTCATCACCCTCGGGCCAGTACTGGCCACTCATCATGGCCCGCAGCACGAAGGACGACACGTTGAACGCGTTGCCTTCCTTCAACAGCTGCTTCTCCTTGGCTCCTTGGCGTGCAAAGCCAGCCCTGGGTGGGGAGACACTCCAGCTGGGTCCAAGGCTCCCTTCTGGCTCCCTGTAGCCTCCCGCCACCCCGCCTTGGGAGAGCAGGTTGCAGGCGGATGGCGGCAGCACTCACTTGAGGAAGCTCCAGGCCAGGCAGGGCGACAAGCAGTGCAGGACACACGCAGGCATGTTGAAGATGGAACAGATGCTGGGTTCCAGCGCCGTGGGGCCGCCGCCGTTGATCATGATTACCTTGTGCACCAGGTCTGGGTACTCATGGGCCAGGAAAGTGCAGAAGGAGACGCTTGGGGGGGGGGGGCGGGAATCAAGGGCAGAGGTCACCGGGTGCAGCTACAGGGACACCCGAGGCAGTGCGACTCTGCCCACCCTGGGGTCGCCCTGGGCAGAGGTCCTTTTTTTGTCAGAAAACTGTAAGATTGGGAATTGGGTTTTTTGTTGTTTTGTTAGACGATCCAGGCCTAGAACCTCATTTATATGTTTTCTTTTTCTCCCGGTACTGGGGATCAAACTCAGGACCCTGTTTGTGCTTGCCAGGCCCTATACTACTGACCTATCTCTCCAGCCCTGTGTATCTATTTTTATCCAGTACTGAAGATGCTACCGCATGGCTCTCACAGGCTAGCTTGCTACCATGGAGCTACACCCCTAGCCCTTTATTTTCATTTGGATACAGGGTCTCAATAAGTTGCCCAAGCAGGCCTTCAACTTGCAGTCGGTCCTGCCTCAGTTTCCTGAGTAGCTTGGATGACAGGCCTATGCCTCCATAGTGTATGGTGTTGGCTACTTGTTTTTGTACATAAATTCCTAATCTGGGAGATTTGCACACTATTTTATAAATCAAATTTTAACGAAATGCAGCCTTGCTTGGCTGCTTCTATGAAACAAGAACAGAGTTGTGCTGAGGGTGTTGGTACACTCCTGTAATCCCAGCACTTGGCAGGCTGAGGCTGGAAGATTGCTCCCAGCTGGAGGCCAGCTGGGCTACAAAGTGATAGGTTCTGGCCTAGTATGAATTGCTAAAATCATTGTGGGGTCATCTAATATGGCCAATGCCCTTAAAACAAAGCCCACCTTTGCAAAGACCACCTCCCCCTTCTTCTCCAACTCAGCCGGGACATAATTTCCTTCCCCCCTTCCCGCAGCCTCAGGGAAGCCCCCAGTCAGCCCCTCAGGTGTATCTAAACAAGCCCTCCCCACCCCTCCCCTGGAAAAGGCCACAGAAGCCTCGCCTCCCCTTGTCTAGTCCAGAGAATTTCTTATCTTCCTTACATTCTCTCCATGTCCTCAAAGAAAATAAAGCCCCTTTCCCTTTTTCCTTCTGCCTGTTTCTCTGCTGCAGGGTTCACCTGAAAACACCTATCACAAAGGGAGATCAAGGTCAGCCTGAACTGCACATGGAGAC